TACCCCTTGCGCTATCTTTTGACCATTTGGCAACTTTTCGCTTCGTAGCTGACACGGTACAACACTTTTCTTTGGCTTACTTCACACGGCCAGTCATTTTGTTTACAAAGAAATGGTGTGCTATGCGCATGCGCTAGTAGAGGGAAATCCCTGAACAAAACGTTGGTCAGACAGGTAGAAATACCGATGATTATCTTAGATTTAATCATTTTTATGAATCTATTTCAGCCAAATCCGATCTTTATTTTCCATAAGGAGTCTCACTTGATATGTTTACGTAGTATTTGAAAAAAAAAGGCAAAAACAAAAGTTACTTCACAGTGATGCCCCTAGCATATTTTAGCACCCAAGATTTAGCGTCGTCCGTACGTCAACAATTTCTTCAAACGTCTTCTACTTCTTAACCACTGATTGGAGTTTGACTAAATTTGAATAGAAGCATTCCTATAGGTGGTAAGGATTCCAATTGTACAAATGGTGAGGCTGACCCCCCAGGGGCTGAAAGGTGGTGCCAAAAGGGGTCAATTTGGCTATATTGCTTGTATAAACGACTTGTTCTATAGAACTATGCGATAGATATTTATCATATTTAACTGGAAGCATCCCTAGGTAGTGGGGATTCAAAATTGTACAAATGGTGTGGTTAATCCCAGGGGGCTGAGGGGCGGGGCCAAAAGGGGGCCAATTTTTGCTCTATTGCTTTAAGCAACTTCTTCTCCGGAACTAAGAGATTGACATCAACCATATTTGACTGGAAGCATCCCTAGGTAGTGGGGATTCAAAATTGTACGAATAGTGGGGCTGAACCCAAGGGGGTTCAGGGTTGGGGTCAAAAGGGGACAATTTGGCTTTATTGCTAGAAACGACTTCTTCTCTAGAACTATGCACTGGATATAAATCATAATTGGTCGGAAGCATTCGTTGGAGGTTGGGATGCAAAATTGTACAAATAGTGGGGCTGACCCTTCGGGGCTAAGGGGTGAGGCAAAAAATAGTTTATTACTTGGAAATGGTTGAGATCCCCACCCTATAACCATATATACATTTGGTGAGTATAAAGAGAAGAATGCACATATGCTTCCAGGTTGGCCCCGGGGCTGGCTCCACCCTTGGAGACTTAACCCCTGAGTCATAACTTTAAAACGGTTGAGATCCCCACCCAAAAACTATATATACGATTGTTTGGCATAAAGAGAAACATGTTGTCATGCTTTTAGAATTGACCCTGGGGTCTGCCCCATCCTTGCAAACTTAACCCATGTGTCATAACTTTGAAACGGTTGAGATCCCCACCCCAAAACTATATATACAAAAGCTGGGCATAAAGAGACGAATGCAGACATGATATTAGAATTGACCCTGGTGTCTGGCCACAACCCCAGGGACCTAGTTTCTTAGTCATAGTTTGGAAACAGTTGAGATCCCCACCCCAAAACTATATATGCAAATGACGGGCATAAAGAGACAAATGCTGTCATGCTATTAGAATTGACACCGGGATCTGCCCCACCCTTGCACACCTAACCCCTGGGTAATAACTTTGAAACGGTTGAGATCCCCACCCCAAAACTACATATACAAAAGCTGGGCATAAAGAGACGAATGCAGACATGATATTAGAATTGACCCTGTGGTCTGGCCACAACCCTAGGGACCTAGTTTCTTAGTCACCGCTTGGAAACAGTTGAGATCCCCCCATAACCATACCTAAACGTACTGGGCATGAACAATCTAATACATATATGCTACAAGGCCCATTCCCTTGGATCTTATTAGGAGAATATTTTGCCATGGTTGCTTAGATATCCAGATGCGCGATACAGGCCCTCTGGGCTTCTTGTTTATAAACTGATAGTGTGGCATCCTTGGGGTAGAGTGGCGGGCTCCATAGGGGAAATAGGGGTTAAAATCCCCTCTTTCCGTACGAATGGAGGGATTTAAACACAATTTGGTGAAGAGCATCCTTTGGCAAAGGGGACTCAGTTTTTGTATTAACAGTGGTTGTGACCTCCCTCGGGGCAGAGGGGTGGGAACAATATGGGAAATAGCGGGACAATTTTAAAATTCCTCTCCATTCGCATGAATTGAAATCTTTTAATTAAATTTAGTGAAGAGCATCCTTAGGCAAGAGGGACAAAGGCCTACTACGAGGATTGATCTTGAGCCCTGATCCACTCCTGGAGACTAATTCGCTGGTTCACAACATAGAAACATTTGCGATCCTCAACATATACAGTTGTTACCATATTTATAACTTCTAGACATGAAGAAGTGGCAAGTCACTACAAGGTTTGGCCAGGAGGTCAAGTCCTATAATTCAGGGAAACTTTTGAGATCCGCGCCTCATAACTATGTATACATTTGCTTGGTATGAAGAGAATAATATACTAATGACATTATAATTGGCCATGGGCTTTTGCCTCACTATGATGCTTACCCATAGCTTAAATGCCCATGCCAGATGCACCCTACTCCATATTCTATCCTGTAACACTATACCGACAACGGGTAAATCAATCGTTGCGAGTACCCAAAATACTGAACGTTTTAGGACATTGGTACGTCTCCACCTGTGGACATAACTAATTTCCCTCTTTATTTGTGCGATCTTTCTACACTAAGACTAAAGTTGAGGTATTGCCAAGCAAGCATTAAAATGTTTACGGTTGTTAGGAAGTAGAGAGCAGCTTAGCAGGAAGAGATAATAAAATCATGCTACCAGGATTTCTTTGGGAGTCAACCCCTGGGTTCTTAATTATTGGGTCATTCACCCCATTACCATGAATACAATCGCTAGGCTAGGAGAGGTAAATAATTTTCTGCTACTAGGTTTAGTCCCTAGGTCTGGCGAAGTCGATCAATGCCTATACCTCCTGAATTATTACATGAAAACAGTTGAAATCCACACCCAATAACCTTATCTATTATTGCCGAACATAGTCTTGCCCACCAGAAGGGATTTAAGTATAACAGTTTATATTTCTTGTACTCTTTTGGACTTAACTGACAATAAATACCATGTGAGTTATGAAGGCCACTGGACTTTTTGTTCAAGATATTATCATGATGAATATTTATTAACATATTGTATACCTCACACTTTTAGGTCTTTAAGTTATGCCATTTTTAAATACTCGGAATAAACAAGCTACAGCTTTTAATATTGTATTTGTATTATCATTGTAGATTGCCAAACACTTGGGTGACTTAAAATATAGCTCAAAGGATACTGAGCAACCACAATGGCAAAAGGTTACGGAAAGTCCAGAAAGTATTCAAAAAAGAGGGCTAAAAAGAACGACTCCAAAAAAACATTCCCTCTTACGTCATTTAAACGGGATGATGAACTGATAGGTGCTTTGTTCATAAAATCAGTGAGATTAAAATCATCATTTGATAGCTCTACATTTAGGCTTAAATTGGAGGATTTATCAACAAGCGGGTCTCTAAAAGCAATATATGAATCATTAATCGTTACAAAAACCTACATTGATTTGGAGGTCTACAATTCACGTGTAACCCTAAGGAAAAAACAAATAAATGCATTAAACAGAAAACATTCATTTTTCACGCAAGCTTCAAAATATGTCCAATGCCCAGACAGCAAAGGGAAATACCGGTTTTTAGACCTGACAATGTTGGTGCCTCAGGGTGATTCTATTGTTGAATGCATAGGTATCGTGAAGGTAAATACTGAATTGAAACGGCGCATAGAAGAAATCTTTTCTTACGACTTCAACTCGTTGGATACTTCAGCAACGAGAAGCAGTCAAACCAACCTCTTACAACCCATCCATACAACAATCTCTCCTGGAAAAGAAAACACATTACTAACTGTACAAGATGATTTTGAAGTAGTGTACGTCATGAAACACCGTCGCACAGTTTCTCTACGTGCTTCAAGAAACGGAATGCCTTACAGTATCTACACACCTGTGAGATTAAAACGTTCAAAGCAAAGAACAAAACAGATACAACCATTGATCGACCTCCTGAAAACAGCGTGCGAAGAGCTGAAGGATGAGTCTTTATTTGTTTCGAACGGATTTCATCGACAAACAGAGCTGTTTTCTGAGTCCGACATTAAGGATCTGTCTGGACCTATACCTCTAGACTCTACACAAGTTTATCCGAGCACAAATAGTGCGAGGGAGTCAGAGCAACAAAGGCAAAGGTCTTTTGTATTCTGGCCTCTGTCAAGCTCAGCAACTATACAGTCGTTGGTTGAATCAGGATTTTATGCTTCTGATCATGAATTAGAAATTGTGGAATGCTTTTCTTGCGGACTATCCCTAAGAGCTTCTGAGCTAAACGGCCGTCATCCGCTGGATGTGCATAGGGAAATGTCACAACACTGTCAGTTTCTGCAATCGGAAAGTATCAGGGAAAGAACGTTCAACAACAATCCGCCACAACGGTTTGAACCGTTAACAATGAATAGCATCAGTAGGGATCAGAATTCACAATACTCCTCGTCTATCAGTAACACAAATGACGAGATCGATTGTGTTAAAACCGAAAGCGACATATCTTACAGACAAAATACAATCGAGAGTCACTTGGGGGAAGTGGCTGAAAAGTTTCAAACTAGTCTCCGTTTCAATCCAAGAGTGCAGTCACATATATCACAACCATCTGACGTAGTGGAGGACGGAACGGAAAGCCAAACCAATTTAGATGGGAAATTGCTGTTAAGCGGAACCAATCAGAATCCACGTGATCTGACAGACTTATATTATCAATATAGTCCACGAAGAGATACTCTTGTCTCTCAACAGGACAATGTCAATAACGGTGGACATATACACGAACCAATTGAGGGAGCGACGGCGGCGATATCAAATGTTGGGCCATCACCGAGTTCACTTGCACAGGATTCGTCAACACCACCTCCCCGAAACCCTCGCTATGAACAGGACAATGCTCGAAGAGAGAGCTTCAACGCCTGGAATGGTCGACACGACATTGATAGTCTTGTCGAGGCTGGTCTATTCTACACTGGTAGGTTGTTTACTTTTAGTAATTTAGTAATATGATTCTTAATTATTATTCTAAAGCTTTTGAGGTATAACTCTAGCTATCGATGTAAAATCAGTATTCAATAATAAAGTAAATGTCTATGGTAAATAACTATTAAGATAAATCATCATGTTTGCGGCATTGCGCAATGACCTTAGTCTAAAATATAAATTGTGTTTCAATTGACCATTCTTGACTTCATGTCTCCAGAGAAATTAGTTTACACCGGAGTGACGTATATCAGTTTGACATCACGTTTGAATTAACCTCAACATTTGTTTGCTATTTCCATCTATTCGATTTGTACTTGTTTAGTTTTCAATTTGAGCAACTTTCATTTTATATGATTAACCATTCCAACCAAACAGACCAAGGAAAAACGGCAACAAAGATAAAGGTTAAAGGATAAAGATAAAGATTACACCAATTAATAAATATGTTATAATTAAAAAGAAATTTTACCAATTTATTGACACCCGTTTCCATAACAACGTATTGTGTGTACGTGTTTCTTTAATAACAGGTGACCAGGACATTGTCAGGTGTTTCCATTGTGACATTGGCCTTGCTGAATGGAATAGGGAAGACGATCCCTGGCTGGAGCATGCGCGACATAGTCATGAATGTCACTTCCTGTTACGGATAAAGGGCCACGCCTACGTCAATGATGTCCAGAGGGAATGGTCAAAGGTACAAAGATCAATATAGATTTAACTGGTTATCAGGGAAGCAGGATTATGTGTTTGTGTAGAAAAAAACCTCTTTGCTTAGTCTGATTTTTATTTTGGTATAGATATTGAAATTCCCAAACGAGTGGTTGATTACCATGTTTATCTAACTCGAGTTAGTTAATTTTCAAATGGTATAAAGACACAATATTTACCGAGTGTCTTTTGCAATTCGAAAACTAACTACGTGGAGTTAGATAAACATGATAATCAACAATTACGAGTTTGAGGGTGTTTTTAACCACGATATTCAGATATATTATCCAGAAAACCATATATTTCTTTTGGAAAAAGCATTAGTCCTGTTTCCGACGAAGAAATCAATTGCAATGTTCTTTGACGTCACAATGGAAAATGACGTAGTAAAGCATTGCTACCTCACGTCATAATTAGAAGATTGACCAATTAGTTAACGTCCGTGGTGTAATCCGCTATGGGGTAAGCGAAAGTCAATAAGTCGGAAATGAGGAAACCTATAGTGATTGTTGGAGAATAAAAGATTCATTACGATGAGGTTATTTTTTCAAATATTTGTAATAATTTAGACTTTAATTAAAGCGTGTAAGTCACCAGTCTTATGTTTAAGCGACTAGATAAAATACAAATTTCTCATAGTGCATCTGATTGGTACATGTAATAGCACTGAATATAATGTTAAAAGAGAAAATTGTTTAAATAAAATCAGGTGTATTCCCCGAAACGTCCAGACCTGTCCCACGTTGATAGCAGACTGGACACATTCCATAACTGGCCCAGGGACTTCGTTGTGCAGACACCAGAGCAGCTAGCCATAGCCGGATTTTATTATGCTGGTAAAGTATTTTAAAAGGTAGCATTAGATACCGAATACACGAGAATACGAGTATTAGGAGGCACGGTAATCTACTGGTAGGACGCCGGGCTCGTGACCGAAGGTCTGCGGGTTCGAGTCACGTCACGGCACTTTGTTGTATCTTTGAGCAAGATACTTTTACTCCACTTGTTACAGTCTACTCAGCTGTAAATGAAAACGTGTTTGGGCAGTGCTAGAATTGCTGAATGCTAGCTGTGTGCGATGAAATTGCAGCAACGGCTGTATGATCCCAAGGGAGCTGAGAAAGATATTGGCTGTTTGCAAAGGCCCTATAATCGCGGATAATAATTTGTTAATCGCTTTGAGACGACCTACGAATAAGGTTGTGATACAGTGGTTTATAAGAACCTCGAATTATTATTATTATTATACACTTCATACTAAAGGGATATGAATTCTGAAATAGCTGTTCATGATGTTATTATGTGCCATATCAATCAGCATTTGAGAAGCTTTGCTACCTTTTTCTTTTTCATTTGAATCTTCACGTTTTTCTTTATTATTTCTCCGAACATTATATTTATCAATGATATGTGTTAAAGGAAATACATGTATTTGCCATAAAACATTCCAAAATATGTGTAAGATGAAAATATGTGTATATATATTCATCCAGGCATGACTGATACGGCTCGATGCCACTACTGTGACGGCGGGCTCCGGGAGTGGGAGCCTGGGGATATCCCCTGGGTGGAGCATGCGAAGTGGTTCCCTCACTGCAAGTTTGTACTCAAGATCAAGGGGCTGCCGTTCATCCAACAATGCGTTGCCCGTAGAAACGTATGTTTGCAAACGTGGCGTAAGGGTGTTCTGTTGATATTCTATAATGTACACGTGCTGTGTACAGTTGTATATTTATATATTTTATGATTTGTAGCTTAGACTAGGTGTATTAAAATACTATTTACCGAGACATTTTCGCCCAGTCAAACTTTCGCCCATCGCACATGAAATAAATATTCGGTCAGTGTCTATGTCTCCCATCAAATTAAAATAACTATGTTTATTATGCTGTTTACATATATGCTGTAATGATAAGTTCACCCACATTTAGAGGGCAAAAAATGCGAAAATTAAACTGCAGTTAAAATTTCCCGTTATACAGTATTTTATGCGATGGAATCATTACGTATCACGGTCAGAACATTTTTAAGATTTTTTAATTTTGTTTTTAATTTTGTTTTTATATAATATTTTCTAACATCAATCACTGTTGTTAGCCCGGATGTTAGCGCACAGAGAATCTTAATAAATTGATTAACATATCGCGAACACCGCATCAATGTGACTTGTTCCTGATATATTTTGTATTATTGGTTTACGTTTTTCACAGTCAGGTGTTTTCGATTAATTGATATCAAGTGATGCGTATTTATAGAGGATATATTTCATCGGTTGCAATGGAATACAATACCATACATTTTTTAACGAGTACATAGCTCAAGTGAACATATCGATAGATTCTGTCATGGATACTGTATATGGGTTTCAATGGGAAACCATCATCTTTTAAAGTTTTTAAGAAGCTGCAGCTAAACCGAAAGTATATGGCTTACCTTAAGTAAATATATTGGTATCTACTTATTCTAGTATCAATTTGTATCTACATCTACAATGTATTGATACATGTTTTTACCTGTTCATATTTCATCTTTATTCTTCTATGTGTATTTATATTTTTCATATTCATCTTTATTCTTTTATGCCTATATATATCTTTTCATATTCATCTATATTTTTCTATGTATACTTTTATCTATTCGCATTAAAGTACGTATATATTTCTGTTCATACAGGAGGTTCTAGAAGACCCAGTTCCAAACAACACACGGGCCGAGAATGAAGCTTTAAATAGATTGAGAGGTACTTGAAAAATCATTATGTACGTCCTTCATGTCACAGTGTTGAAGTATCAAGTCACTTTTTACTGCCTCAGCCAGTGGAATTTCTTTTCTTAAATCAATCAGTAGGGTTATACACAAGACATTTGTAGCTGCTGGTTTGATTCATAGCGGAGGTAACATGCATACATGTACATTGACACATCCAAATGACGGCATAATTGCATAGGCAAGGCTTTCCAGATTCTTGCTAAGACATTATATTTACCTTGTATAGGAAACAAAATACTGGACAAAAGAAAAGCAACAATGACTGAAATATTTTACCTCTTAAATGAGGAAATTTAATTGTTTCTTGGTATCTTTTGATGTGAATAAATCAAAATAATTGTGTTTGTTTTTGTTTGTTTTTTATACAAGGGAGTTGTTCACTCTATCTACGTATATTAGTTTTAAATTGTTATTTTAATGTTTGTCCGTTCCTTTAAAGCCCCGATCAGTAACGAGGAGAAAAACCGTGCGAGGGAAGAAAATAACCCACTGTATACTGCCGCTGCCCAGTCGATTATTGCCATGGGTTACACCACGGCTGTGGTCACAAAGTGCATCAACGCCTATATAGCGAGTACTGGTAAGGGGAATGATATTCGGCCAGCTTTATAAATATGAATAATGTGTTATCACTTGGGAAGACAATTAGTACAGTTTTCAGTATTGTATTTGTCTTCCTTGTCGTAATACAAATCAATAATGACGCATTATGTAAACATTAATTCCCTGCTGGTAGAAGCCGATATCACAGTCCAAGGCTTCAAAGATCTAAATTATAGAAAATATTGTGGACTTCCGTTAATCAGAATTTTTTCAATGAGCATACACCAGCTGTGATTATCAGTCGTAGTGTTTATTCAGTAGTATTATTAATATGTTTTATTTACATGTAATCAGCTGAAAAAAGTGTGTAAGTTTAGTTAAATCTTCTGCCACCTCTTTTGGAGAAACCATCTTGTATCATCACATATTAACTGCATGTCTTCGGTACAGGCTACAACCAAACTAGATAGATATTTGGTGTATTAAAACGAAATTAGATTGACGTCCGATGAATTGTACTTTTTTTTCTTTTTTTTTAAAAGAGCCTTTTTCAATTCATTAGAACAAAAAACGTTTTATGATGCTGCTTCAAATCGCAAATAAAACCTGTGATTTGAGTATTCAAAGACCTGTTACATTTGGCTCATGAATAAAGATTGAAACATTGACTATTACAAAACAGGTCTAGTACTTGTACTTATTTTGAACATGCCATTCCTGTTTTAAGGTCAAAGGAACTTTGGAGCTACCGACTTAATGGATATAATATTAGACAAAGAGGATGAAGGTGGGAAACTGTCAAGTGACGGAGAAACGGAAGGAAAGGGTGATTATATTTTTTTGCATTTTTAATTTACTAGCTGCCTATACATGTAAACATTAAAGTATCACTAAATATGTATTACATCTCAAAGCCTTCTAATATCATGAAATATTCGTTTGAAATTTCTGTCATAGTTTTGCGTTTAATAAATATATATCGCTGATACAAAATTTTAATCAAACACAATTATCAAATATTCAATCTATACAATTAATTTATCAAATTGTGACCAGTAAAATATCAGGAATCATCAATTTGATAAAAACTTATACGAAATAATATATTTTCACCTGTGTCCAGTCAGAATAGTACTTTACTGTGTAGATTTTCAGCTTCGTGTTCAGATGAAGCTACAGGAGAAAAGATGGATGTTTTGGTACACCTTAGTAATATACATTATGTTAATAACATAACTACACAATTTGTTATTTTATAAAATTTGTTCGGATTTCTTATAAGATAATAGAAGCTCTATATAGCTCATGTAGTACAACTTACAATACCAATACAAATATGAAACTTCAAAATTTAATTTAAACCAAAATTCCATATTATAAAGTATTTACTCGCAACACAGCTTTGGCCACTGGCTAGTTCGTGCTTATCTGGATGGTCTATAAATAAGACTGTTACATTATGAATTCATCTAGCACCTGGTGTCAATCCCGGTATAGACTAGTAATGTTGGAAAAATAATTCCGTAGTGAATTCCACTGATTGCAAATCACAGAAATGTTACGAGTGACATATATCAGGGTTTTATAATCTTACGTTTGGCAAGGCAGACCATTTTTAGTACTTTACACAAGGAAAATGTTCTCCGAAAGTTGAATTCCATCTTTTTTGACCAAAGCGATAAAGGCGATTTCACCATATATCATAACACAGCTTAGAAGACATATACTGTAGCATTTCCATTTTGACAGGCAAACTTTTTACTACAAACTATTGGTTGTACCTTAAACGTATTTTTTCATTTCAGAAACTAACGACGACGAGTTCCGATATGGTAAGTAAATATAGAACAAATATTTTGAAAAAAAGTATTATATTCGAATAAAAGGTTAGATTAATTAGGGCAAGTGAGCTAATGAGGTGTCAGAGCGTCCAATGTCCGTCGATCGTTCGTCAACTTTTCCTTTAAACGACTTCTTCTGAAGAATGGAAAAGCTTACACACGAATATGGCATTTAACTACTTCCAAGGCTACAGGATTCAAATATGTCAAAAACTTCAAAGGACTTTTTCTCAAGAACAGGGAGGCCTATAGTCACGATATTTGGCTGGTAGCTTACTGGATTTGAATTAGACAAATTCTGCTAATAAAAATGACATCTGCCTTCTTCCAAGGTCATGGTGTCAAATATTTCAAAAACTTGAAACTACATTTCATGAAGAGCCGAATGGCCAGGAGTCATGATAATTGGCTTGAACAGCATCATGTTATAGAGCGTCACATATTTTGCGAATAAAAGACCTTGACCTTTGATCAAGGGCACAAGGATCAAATATGTTAGAAACATTAAACAAGTTCTTCTAGCGAACGGAAAGATATTTGGCTGGTAGCTTCATGGGGAATATCGAACAAGCTTTGTTATTAAAAATAACATGAACATATATTTGTAGACTGGGTGTATATTTATACTTAAGGTCACCCAGTACATGGGCTTTGCCACATGTATGTGAGCATGTTATGTCACACCTGAGTGAAAGAACGTATACCTGAGGTTGTGCATGCAGGTCGTTCTATATGAACGACGCATGCGCAACCACTTTGCCTCACACAGCACAAACCCTTGCCCAGTCACTCCCAGCTGAACAGCAGATCATGCTCTTACCACCCGGACGAGGCCCTGGTAAGACAGACTAACTATAAACTCTAGTATAATATATATAATATATATCCATTTATTAAGTTCATAATGAACAATTGATTACCATCTTTGTACATTATTACAGATTATCAATAGAAGTGACTATTGTGTAAATATATGAATGACGAATAAAACATTCTCGAACAACGGAGGACTTGTGTGTCTAAATTGAACACGCCGAAGGCCTTACAATGGCGCCCACACGTAGGGACCCGGGTAATATTGATAAAAATACTCAGCGATACTTGCTAAGGAATCTCTATGACCCCTGGAAAACTCGGGACGAGTTCTTTCTTAAAGGGGGAGTATGTCACTCTGGTAAAATACTAGCCGCTTCCTACCGTCTCGGCTAGGGAGAATTTCTCTTTAGCTCATTCGGTAGAGCGTAAGACTAGTAAGCCAGAGGTCCCGGGTTCGACTCCTAGCGGAGGCATTGACAAAATAATGACCTCTGTTATATATTCATAGTCACAGGGGTCAAATAAATCAAAATCTTCAACAACTTTTTCTGAGGAACTAAATCACCGAGATGCATGGTATCATGCTGGTCAATTTTAGCTTCCTTTGATGAATCCCAACAATATTTGCGAATAAAAAATTACCTCGACCATTTCAAGATCACAGGCATCAAATATGCCAGGAAAGTTTAACGACTGCCTCTGACTATCCGGAAGTCCTTGTTGATTCATTATAATAGACTAGTACTTTCCTTGAAGAAAGCCCGAAAAAGTTTGCGAGAATAATACGAGCTCGACCCACTTTTAAAACCAAAGGGATTAGATATGTCAAAATGTTCAAAAAGTGTGATTTTTCCTGATAATCTTGTTGATTATGTTAATCGATTTCTCCAATTTTGTCCTTGTATGTTGACTGTGTTTTTTTTTTTTATCTTAATGCTTATAGTGATAAAGACATTATTTTTCTTTCAGATGGCCCTGCCTTGGTAAAAATCAATGAAACTCTGAAACAGGAACAACTGTGTATCGACTGTAGAAATAGGGGGAGACAAATGGTGTTCCTGCCATGCGGTCACCTCCTTTTATGTAATATATGTGCACAGAGATGTACACATTGTGTACGATGTGATACAATGATAAACAGTAGAGTCAAAATTTATATGAGCTGAACAGACGAAACAAAAACAGCAGAGATAAAAATAGTTAAACGTAAAATGAGCAACATGAAATATTTATCAACCAGTATATACAAATGATACTTTACCACCAAGGAATGCACCAATCAGTTATCAGGAAAAACATATAAAATTGTTGTTCATCAGCGCTGTGATAGGATGTCAAGTGAATATGACGTTCCATATGACCCGCTGTTAAGAGATGTTTTCCTTCACTGAAATCGTTTTGTTTAGAGGATAATAATTCAACACATTCACTTTGTCTTTGCCTCCGCGAAAAATATCAGTTTTCTGACACAACAATTAAAAAATAATATTAAACATCCATTTCATATATTATATTTTTTTTATGATATTCCTCGCTTATAAATATGTAGTAAAAAATTAATAAAAAAACCGACTGATAACGGCTTATTTTCTACATCAATAAATTAATGACGTCATGACGTTTAGGATAATACCAACTGCATAATTCCGTCTTTTCGTATTTCAAGAGTTATTTGCTCTTGTTAGCAGGTATTGATTGTTACGTCATTTGTTTGTGAGAGTAACGTCATAATTTTTGAGAAAACGACCTAATTTTTTCACACAAACTAATGACGTAACAATCAATACCTGCTCACAAGAGCAGATAACTCTGCAATACGAAAAGACGGAATAGTTGGATGATGCGCTGTTTCTATTGTGTTTCTGTGATGCCTTGCCTTTCAGTATAAACAGGAGTACCATCTTAAGCAGAGATCAGTTTTGAATGACGACTTACAATATGGTTTTATTCACATAAGTATCTTGGTTAACATGTTGACATTTTCTTTACGAATGTGAATATTTAAGTAATGAATGTTTTGGTTTTTCCTTTTTGCTGATAAACCTAACAAAGCCGGTAAGGTTCATTATGATAGATTTGTTGTGATTTTTCACCTATTTTTCTCGCCTAAGGGTCAATTCGTGAAGTTCAAACTGATGACGTCACAATAGTGATCACGTTAAAATCATTTTATAGTATCATGACATTCATTTTATTGTCATGTATATGCATTACAATGGGATGATGCTTAACAATGCTGAACAAGTGTTCATATAGTCAATGCAAACATCAATTTTGAATTATTGTTAGTTATTGTTATATCATTTCAAGTCGTACGTGTTTCAAGTGTTTCACGCCTGCTTTGGAATGGTTTAATTTTCAAATAGGATTTTACTGATTTTGTGAACTTCTTTTCACTTTTTACAAAACGTTTTTCCACGTTTTTCCGTGTTATGCAATATGGAATTTAAAGTTCATACTTGGGTTATGGAGTAAACGTTTGCCAAAACTTTGTGAACACTTGCATTGTGTAGATGTTAGGGGTTCCGGGTTACCGTTGTTTATCTCATTCCGCCTGAATGCTTTTATAATCACTTTAAACATACGGAAATGGATCCTACATTCGTAGGCTCACGATATTAAAGCTATATAGCATTATTAATCTAGATATATTCATGAACTGTCAGTTCGTCTGCGTCACATATAACCGTTTCGTATGTTGAGCATAACACAGTGCTTATCCATTTTACGAATTGTACCTGCATCTTGTATTTGTTTGTATTAATTGTTTTACGTTTTAAATAAAATAATGAAAACATTTCAAAAACTTACATTCTGTATGCTTGTTGAAATATATATACATTATAAACTGTGTTTCAGTCCGAATGGAAGTACATGTCCAAACCTTTTCTCGATGTCACAGATAGGGAGTCAGTACAATAGGCTATATATAGTTACATTGTTTCAAATGTTTTACAAACGTAACACCCGATAAAACAATCAGAGTACAAAGGTAAATGGTGATTCACATTATTTTGCTTCACATGAAAACTGATGTGTTGTTGTAAAATATTCTTTACATCATTATGGTGGCCAGTACATGACATATACAGTTTATATAATTATGGTGGCCAGTATGTGACATACAGTGTATATAATTATGGTGGCCAGTATGTGACATATACAGTGTATATAATTATGGTGGCCAGTACATGAAATATACAGTCTATATAATTATGGTGGCCAGTATGTGACATATACAGTGTATATAATTATGGTGGCCAGTATGTGACATATA